ATCACTGAATGCTTCACGAACCGACGGTATAGGTCACCAACCCTGGCTTGCCAAGGCCGACTGTTTTGCCGTTCTCCATACTGAGGACAAATTTGTGACGCTTTGCCAGAAAACGTTCACCAAGAAAGACATTGCTCGCAACAAAATTGAAGAAGGATGGTACACAAAGGATGATATGATCAAGGTTTTGCGATGGAATGTGAACCTTTGCGGCATGAACCATAATATTGTTGGACTATAGGTTATTTAAAAAAACACCTATTGGACATGCATGTATACCACCTGCATCGCCGCTCAGGAAGAGGGTCGAAGGAGCTATCCGTGTTTGCAGTCGCGATCCCTCACTGCACAGGCAAAGAACCCAAGACGCCTTTCCTTTGCCGACATTTTGGAACATGCAGTTCAGTGGTTTTGACTTATAAATCTGGATTGGAAGGTTTTTCCAACCGGTCTTGATACAATTTGGGCTTATCAAAGAACTTCAATGTAGTGTTCTGGACTGCTGCCAGGAAAAACAAGTACAGTGGCGAGGATGAGTACTGCATCTGTGTTCGCGAAGGTGCTGAGAAAGAGCAGGAGGTCACTAACGAAGAGCGCCGAAGTTCTACCCAGCGCACCGTGCAGGATTGTGTTCTTATGTTCACTAAGCAGGTGATAAGTTACCTCTTTGTGCCTTGCATGAATGCATATATTAACAGACCTAGTGTGTGTGTGTGTGTGCAGGACACGGAACCGGACTTTGATGCTGTGGATACGAGCGCGGTCGATGCCTTGAATACGCGCTTCGCAGCACGTGGTGGTGAAGAGTGTGAGCAAGAGTCCCAGGCCACCAAGTTGGACAAAGGTTACATATGTTCCCAAAAGCAAGCAAAACCCAATGGAGTTCACATCACACCTTTCGAGCCGTCTCTGTTGAAGGGTTTTGTTCTATTATATGCTGCCCTTGGCAGGCGTTGTCTGCAAAGGACGATTTCAAGAAGTTCTGCGACAGCGTTCTCACAAGGATGGCCAAACTCCGATCTTTGAGCACTGATCTCAAGCGTAACCACGCTTCAGATCAACTGGCGTGCAGGCCTTTCACTTAAAGTTACTAGATGTTCATGCTTTCCAAGTGCTGTTAAAAAGGTAATAGTAGAAGCCCCACTTGCATTTTCCAGTGGTCCAGGTCGGTTGCACAAATCCAAACTGACTTGGCTACCTTGGATCAAGTCTACTTGAAGCTCTCCGAATGTTTGGCCAATGGGGAAGTTCAACAATTCAGTCAAGAGTAGCTCATTTGCAGGCTCAGTCAAAGTAAAGCAAAAACAATGCACACTAACACAGCAGTCCATGATGGTCTCAAACAACCAAGGTGGAAGAAGGCATCCGACAACATGGTGAAGCACGCAACCTTCGTGTGCCTTCTTACTTTGTTGGTGATGCAGTGGTTGCACAAATTCTCAAGCGGTGTTTTTCCCCACCGTTCCCTCCTGCCGCTGAGACGCACAGCTCAGGTGCACAAAGGTGGCCCAGAATGAAGTACGGATCCGGCACATTGATCAATTTATCCTTAGTTGCTGGCAGTTTCATGGGTTGTTGTCTGTCCTTCTCATTGGAATACCTTTGGAACTCCCGCTTTGTTCTTCCACAGCCCAGGAATGCAAAACGGCATTTTGCCAAGATCGACAAGACTGAGTGAAGCTGGATGGGGTTTGACAGATCGACGCCGATTGGTCTGTCTGGGACGTGTTGTTCAACACGGCATTTTGATGTTAGGATTTGCGAACTCGCAAATCATGGTCGAAGAAACCAAGTCTGGGTATTGGGTCTGTGCAACGCTTCTTAGCTTGATGGTGAGTACTGAATTGATCTTAACCAAAATGATCATCGAGCTTCCTTTAGTGATGGTTCTGGAGGTGTGAGCTTGGCAGACCCGGTGAACAAATTTGTAATTTGAAATGTCCTGGAACATTTACTGCAGCCAGACTGAGCTGCAATCGGCAGGGAAAAAACTCCAAGACCTTCAACTCAAAGCCTTTCATCTCATTCCCCGAAATGAGGTTTCTTCCTCTTGCCAACCAGAGCTCCTAGCCAGGTCCAGGGCCAACTGCAAGGAGGCTGGCAGCAAATGTCGGTGAAGGAGTGGCTACCTCAGAGCTCACGAGTGCCACGCGGTGAGAGGAAAGTCAGAGCCCAGAATTCAGAATCACAAAAACAGCAAGGTCCCAAACACGAAATACAAGTCGTTATTTATGTACTATATGCATGTGGTGCTCGGACCTCACACTGTTTAATTCAGCAAGGGTGCGCAAGAGAATCCTGCAGTACCAAATCACCATGGCTGCGCACGCGTGGACTTGCCTGCTCTGTTTTGACAAGTACCCTGGAACCTTCAAGAAACTATATTATATGTTCCATGCCGCTGCAAGTCGGGGATGCCAAGTTCATGGCACGTGAACACATCTAAGTATCATTGGATTGAAACCTTTGGTGACGTGAGAAAGTGCAAATTGTAAAAGCATTCTGAGTTTACCTCTCACTATTGTTACCTGTCCCTGATGTGCTGCGAAACACGCGCCGACAAACGATGTTCAATGAGAGACCTACTGCACGAACCTGAGTAGGTCCTGCTATATAGGACTGTGCAATGCTCCATTGACTTGAGGGCGTTTTGGAAAGTATTGGGTTGGTTTGTGAACATGGTAGTAAGCCTTTTCTGGAGGCGTCTTTCATGTCCACGGCACCTTGCTGTAAGTGCCAGCAAATCCTATGTTACACACATCAAACAAAGTCTATGAATTTGGTTCCCTGCATCAACCTATTTTAGAGCTTCAGGGGTTAGATGGGGCGAGGCAAAAACGGTACAGGGAAGATTCTTTTGGTAACAGCGCAATTGAGTGTTTATGCCTGGCGCCAGTCTTCCGAGGCCACTTGCTCGTCTCAGATCAACACTGCCAGGGCGGTGGCCAAAGAATTTGGAATCCAAGCGACTGGCAAATCTGGTGTTCTTTCATGGGCTTCCATATCCCTCAAAAATTCTGAGCGTGGCACGCAGAAGGTGGTTTCAGAGCAAGGGACCAAGCTGGATGTTGAGATTAGTAGCATGATTGCAAAGGGGACAGAGGTCCCATGGATTCCTCCAACCACATGGTTCAAATACCTGCTGGACCACGGGCTTTGGTACCGGCTTGCGGGTTTGGATTTTGAGAAACAGCATTTGGCCCCTGAGGTCTGGGGAAAGTTTTGGAAGCAGTTCGAAGCTTTGCAGCCAGACTTTAGCCTTTTCACCATGGGTTTTTCAGAGCAGGAACTAGAGCGCACATGCGCAATTTTCACACATGGAGATGAAGGACGAACGCTGAAGAAAAACGGTATTATGATCACTGCTGTTCAGTCCGTGCTGGGCTATGGATTTGATGAGGCCAGACTCAAGAAACGTGGGACCAAGCGTGCGGCAAATGGGGATGAACTTCCACATTTGGAAGTGAACTTTGCAGGCCACACTTTCACGAACCGCTTCATCACGAGTGTGATCCCGAAAGTTCTGTATGAACAAGACGTCTTCCACACGGCGATGGAAGAGCTCACACTTGATTTGAAGCGGTTGTTGGAAGATGGCATTCGCGACAGGCACGGAAATGTCTTCCGTGTTTGTTGCATCGGGGTCAAGGGTGATTGGCCATACCTTCAAAAAGTTGGAAGACTGAACCGAGCATTCAATACCAGTGTGAAACGAGGTGCTGAAGCAAAAAAGCCGCGAGGAGTGTGCCACTTGTGTCTTGCAGGTCGGGAAAATTTTCCAAGCGAAGAGATTACAACTTTTCGACCTCGTTGGTTGTCCACAGTTGGGGTGCTTGAGCCGTGGGACAAACGGCCAGTGCACATTCGCTTCTTGCCACATGACATCTCCAATCCTGGCAGCTTTTTCATGCCAGATTTGTGGCATGGATTTCATTTGGGCGTTGGCAAGGCCTTTGCGAGCTCAGTCATTCAAGTGTGCTTGCCCCAAGTCCCAGTTGCTACACTTCCGGAGAAGTGGGAATGGCTCACGGAACACTACTTCAGATTTTGCAAAGCAAATCACAGGCCGGCCATTGTGAGACAAATTTCTGCTTACTTGGTATCGTACAACGACTACACCGGAGCAGTCGGCTGTTGGTCCAAGGGGGCAGTGACAACCAGCTTGTTGCTGTGGCTTCCCCATTTGATCTCTTGCTTGCCTCCAGATTCTGAGGGACTTTTGGCAAAGGCTTCTAGAGCGGCGGTGTGTGCCAATGTGATGTTCTCTACTCTCTACGAGTCTCCAGCAATGTTGCCCAAAGTCGTGGCGGTGCGTGTTTCAAAGCTTGGAGCAACCTTTTTGCAAATATACTACAAGCTGGCCACAGTCCACTACCATGCAGGGAAACCGTTCTTGTTTCCACTATACACAAAACTCCATGCCATGCACCACCAGGTCATCCAGCTTGACTCTGATGCAAGGCGTGTTGGTTTTGCTTTCAGTCCGCTGCTGACGGCCTGTCAGCAGGACGAAGATATAGTGGGAAGAGCTTCTAGGCTCAGCAGGAGGGTGAGCATTAAATCTACCATGCTCCGGACATTGCAGCGATATCTTATCCAGTCGTATGTCAAGTGGGTTGATGCAAGGATGATCCGTGGGTGAGCTCAGCTGGAAAAGGCATGCAGTCCGTTTTTTCAGGGAATGGGTGTGTGATAGTTTGATGGCAAGAGCCAAATTACCTGGTTTTTTCAAGCATACCTGGTATTTCAGCAACTTGGAAGTCAAAAGCTGGTTACCTAGGAAAAGGTAGGTAAGTGAGGTTGAAGGTATATATATACACGTATACATTGTATATAGCTATATATATATATATACATGGTATATTTTGTTTTCTTCATGGATTCGACAAACTCAATCTACACCCACCCGGTTTAGAACTTCATCCAACGATCCACGTGGATTCGACGTCGTATTTGCATCAGGTCGGTGGATCGGAACTCAAAGCCCGGTCGGTGTTCAGGCCTGCAAGGTGGAGGGTGAGCTCCGTTTCAAGGTGGGTGATGAAGTGGAGGCCATTGTGGGGAAGGGCCAATGGCAGCGAGGCAAGATCTTGCGCTTGTGGGATGAAGGCAACCCATATCGCATTGAGCTGGCGGACAAGCAGAAGACCAACGTCTGGGGTCCAATGGATGATGATCGATTTGTCCGAAAACCCAAGACGGCGGGGTACAAGGCCTGAGGTGGTGGGAGTGCTGAGGTGGCTACACGTGGCTACACTTTCTGAGGGGTGATTCTTCATGGCTGCACAAGTGTTGCAGCCCCTTACGGCCTTCGATACATCCTTCGATTGGCCCCTAGTTAGGAGGCATAACAAATGTCTTAATTCAAGCCTACGAAGCTGCTGAGATTTCGTCAAGATGGAGTGTTATTTTGTAGGCCTATGGAACATTTGGTGACTTCCTGACCCTTGAAATCTCACATGGCGCTTAAATTGGGAGGGACATACATATACATTCGCCTTCGCCTTCGCCATGGGCGCCGTTCGCGGGAACAAAAATCACTTCGACTTCGCGGTGGAGCGACGTTCGCGGTTGACCCGTCGAACTTTGGATGCCAACACACAGAGTTCGGACACGTGACGCCCACAAGATTCTCCGGCATGCGACAGAATCTGGAGTGGTCACACGGTTCCCTGCTTTACGGAGGGCTGCCGCTGCTCTTTCAGGGCTTTGGAGGTCCTTTTGGCACATACCGCCTGAATTCCAGCCTGTGTATAGATGAGGTTTCTTTAAGAGTATGAAACAGCCACCAGTTCTTCTCATTGAGAATCATCACGCATCCACATGTTTACTGCGAGGGAGTAACGCCGTCAGCGACGCGCCTATATTGCCCTTTCCAAGTTCGAAGCCGGCTTGATGTGACCCTGACGTGACCCCATCACATCGGGCCCCTCCTTGCAGATTAGCAGTTTTCCAGTATACAACCAATAGGATCCAATAGGTATTATGATACCGAACTCACCCAATATTCCCAAAAGGACATCACTGGTTGCACCGGTTGCACCGGTGGGAGAAACGTGCTCCGAGTGACAGGTCCTGGGTGACTTGGAGAAGCGTTTGGGGAAGGAGAGTCTGGTCGTCCGATGACAAGTTGTTGGTGGTTCTGTGCTTTAGCTAGGCGGTGTAGAATGAAGTATAGACATTGTAAGTATAGATGTAATAGCTGAGATTCAAGATTATTTGTAGTATTTGTTGTTTCTTAAAGGTTTCGAACAGCTCTTCTCTCAACTATAGTCATCAGTTCATATGGGTGACCGGGGTGACCACCACCTTTTGGCTGGTCATTCTGCAAAGCTCCAGGAGGAAGTCGCGAAAGCTTGGACTTCGCAGATGCTTTTGAAGTACGTGGAGAATTGTGCCTACGATGCCGCTCTGCACAGAACAACGAAGGCTGGGATCTGATAGCTGGGGTCCGGTTTCAAGAGGCAAGGTCCCATCCAGGTCCTGTTGGGAGGTTGAATGGTCACACTCCGACTCAATGACGCACCATGGTGGCACTGCAGACTCGGATGACGGTCCGAATCCCGGCTTGGTTTCTGCCAGTGGCGTGCGGCATAGCCGCTGCATCTTTGTTTTGAAGCATGTTTAGTTCACCAAGAACTTAGGTTGTAAATGGAACTGGCTTACTCTTCTCGGGAATCTTCGTGAGTCTTCCTCTTCGAACACCCACCCACAGGCACACAAAACTGAACCTGTCAAATCTGACGTTCCGTTACTTCAAAACCAAGATCGTCTTGAGGATACCGGACGAGCCCCATTTGCAGTCCGCACTCATGCAATCTGCTGGGTCCTGGTATCCAAATGCACTGAGACTGATAGAAAAGTCAATACCGTGTAAACACGTGTCGGACATCTTGTTCGTCCTTTTCCCGGTCCGAGCCACGCCTAAAACCAAAGACGGCGATCTGTGGAGAGACTGGATGTGGTTTTACGTTGAAAAGCAATCGGCCTCCAAACGCATATAAAAGCCATAGTTAAGCCTGCAGAATCTGTCAACTCAAGAACAAGACAACCCACTCAAAGGCCATACGAAGTCGCCAGTCTAAGCATCCTCTGGGGCCAGTCAGCCGCACCCCTCAAGAGAGGAAGATTCTGATGTGGTGGGGGCTTTAGTTAGCGGAGACCTTGGAAGAGCGGCGTTGTTCAACCGACGTAGCCTGCGTTAGATGGTGCTGTCGGCAAACCCTCGGGTCCAAGACCAGAGGGAATTCTATTAGACCATGGGGGATTCACGGCATCGGAAGAACTGAATGAAGATGTGGGAGATACCGACCGACCAGTCCAAACGATAGAGAGAGAGAGAGAGAGAGCGCAGCCGCTGCCACTTCCGTCGTCCAAGGCGAAAAAGCCTTTGCAGAGCACTGTAGTAGCACAGTGCCTTGAGGAGATGGGATGCACGGGCGATAGGGGGGTTGAAGGATATGTAAAAGATTAAGCCCAAAAGCTGCAGCGAAAACACTTCATTATGATACTAGTATAACAATACCTAGTATTGTTTAATTCTATTTTAATTTAATTCTAATAGCTTCTTGTTACTACTAGTAAGGCACTTGTTACTAGTGGTGATGCACTTGTTCCTAGTAGCTTATTGTTTCTAACAATACTGTAAAATACTGCATATATATATAGTTGTTGGATCTCTTTTTTCTTTGTGCTTTTTCATGCCACACACACATGGACATACAGATAAGCAAACACCAGGCTGCAGATGAAAACTATTCCCTCGGACTACCCAGTACCCCTATGTCTTCCCTTCCTTCCCTTCCCTTCCCTTTCCTTTCCTTTCCTTTCCTTCCCTCCCTTCCTTCCCTTCCTTCCTTCTCCTTCCTTCTCCTTCCTTCTCCTTCCTTCTCCTTCCTTCTCCTTCTTCCCCTTCCTTCCTTCCCTCCCTCCCTCCCTCCATCCTTCCTTCCTTCCTTTCTTCCTCTTCCTTCCTCTTCCTTCCTCTTCCTTCCTCTTCCTTCCTC